TTTGTGGTTAGCGTACATTTTTTTACTCTTTATGAAAATGATGTACACCATAATCTTGTCACTGTAATTATCAAGGAGGATCACTTCTTCTAAACACACCTGATAAAATGTCCAGTTAGTCATGAACAACATAGAACTTGAAACATATATGTGCATCAGTCCAAGCTAGCACACGATATCAGCACAGAAAGATGAAGTTACGAAAACAAACATTAGAGTGGTAGAATTGGTAAGAGAATCAGTATCAGCAGAAAAGATTGGTCATCAACAATATGATTCTAAAAGAAAGAATGAATCCACAAAATACAAACTATCAAATAACTTTTAAACTCAAGATCTAAAGAAGGACAAAGAGTGCATAAATCTGTTCGATTGTGGCCAATTCTGTGCCATATCATTCAACGTCTCCAATCATTATTGGTTATGATAATCACGGGGATCCCAATCAGGTAGTTTGAAATTTCAGTGTTAGCAGTAAAACTTATGATAAAAAGTTTTGTTAGTGGCAGATTCGGGTAAATTCATTTTGATTTATGTTATACACATGCATTTAAATAGTGAGATGACGAACACACACAATAAAGTTTTTAATATATAGTTCTTCATTATTAAAATCACTATTGTTATTCTTGACAGTGGATTTTAAATACCTGTATATAATCTTGTGCATTCAATTCCTTGAAAGAAACAATATTCTACCAGGATAGATAACAAAATACTAATAGTCTATACACTATGGAAGATGTAGAATCCTTCACATACATGGGAAACATCATCAATGAACAAGAAGATTCAGATTCAAGGGCCGCATTCCTTCAATTGAAGAACATATGGAACTCAAAACAACTTTCAACCAATATCAAAGTCAGAATCTTCAGTGCGAACGTCAAGGCAGTCCTACTGTACGGAGCTGAAACTTGGAGGACTACTACAAACATCAGCAAGAAGGTACAAGTATTTATAAATAGCTGTTTACGCAAGTTGCTCAACATCCATTGGCCGGATACCATCAGCAACAGCCTTCTGTGGGAGAGAACAAACGAGCTTCCAGCTGAAGAGTAAATTAAGAAAAGACGATGGCAATGAATAGAACATACATAACTCAAATCAAACTGCATCACGAGGAAAGCGCTAACTTGGGATCCTGAAGGGAAGCGGAAAAGAGGAAGGCCAAAGAACACATTACTTCGGGAAATAGAAGCAGATATGAAAAGGATGAATAACAATTGGAAAGAGCTGGAAAGGATTGCCCAGGACAGGGTTGGATGGAGAATGCTGGTGAGCGGCCTATGCTCCTTCACGAGGAGTAACAGGCGTAAGCAAGTAAGTAATTAATAGTCTGTACACTACCAATGAATTGGATTCAGGTAATTTTTAACAATTATAATATTTGTTGAGTCTAAAGTTTGAATTTTTTGTTTGTATGCTTTTTTAAAAAGGATTAATTAAAAGTTACTTCATCCAAAATTATTGTAATTATGACTATATTAGATTTTTTTTCTTTTCAAAAATCCATACAGTTTGCATAATCCATTATCTCTAGCTTTGTATATGATTTAAATCTCTTCTTATTGTAAATCAAATTTCTCTTCTTATCATTCTATCGTTTACATATATTTTTTTGTTTCAATATTTTCTATCTGTGTTTTATTTACATAGAATTTAGGTGACATTCGAGCGATAGATTACCAAAATCATGTACCAATTCCAAACGAAGTACAAGCCTGTGCTGAGCATATTACACAAGTTCAATTGCATCAACGTGCAGATCAAACACAAGATCGTATGTTTAGTTCATATTTTTCTTGTATTTCACCAACTGACTTAACTAAATTTTCTTGAAATAAATTTTCAATTATTTCAATCTATTACAGTAAATTAATTATAAATAAAATGTTTTATTAATTATTACTTATTAACTTCATTCATATTCGAATATATTCCTTCTGTTACCAAAATATCAACGTTTATGTACCGATTATTCAGTGATATATGTAAACACTTCAGAACATTGTAGTCATTTACTCAATAATTAGCATAAATCATATTTATTCAGTAGTGTACACACTTGTCACTCAACCATTTGGTAATTGATCTTAACAAATAGAATATATCAGTTATCCGCTTATAATACGTGTAGCTCTTAGTTCATTGCATTTAAATTTGGGTAGTTTATTGTTCTGCCTACTCTGTCATGTATTACACTACCAGTGCGAATATGATTTAATTACTTTTATTCAAAAGTCGATTACTATATCTCAACATTGTGTATTACGATAATGCTTACTCAATAATTCTTCAGCAACATTTATCCGTACACAGAACTATTATAATTCAATAAATTTCATTGATCATATGTACTTACCTACTGATAATGACTTTGTAAATAATAGTGGTTGAAAACGCACATAAAATATTTTTCAAGTGACCTACATAAGAATTTAGTCACAGGTTTAAAACCATCGTTATCGTTGGTATTCACACGTATATTTCTTATAGCCTAGATCATAAAATTGGGTAATAATTATTGAGTTGAATTAATAATACCTGTGTATTAATGGGTGATGTACTTTTCTAAAACTGTGACCATATATTTCTCGTTAGTAATATTAGTTATATTTGATGCAAATATTGCACATAATAGATAAATTTTTGTAAAACAGGTTATACTCAAATCATCTAGAATACTTGCAGATAATTTTGTGTTCAGGCGTCGCTGATTAGCAGAAATCATAAAGCTGATACCCCCCCCCCCATTAAATGAGGTAAAATATCAAACTATAGAGAATTTCACGTCTTATTTATTTATTTGAACACATAAATATTGGTACAGTCAACTAGCTGTTTGAAATATTAATTCCTAGAGGTATTGTAGCGTTGTTATATTCAAATGTATAGGGTAAGTTAAGTCGATAATGATATATAAATCACCTTTTTTGCTGTAACAGTACAGCAATAATTGGTTTACACAAAACCCACCAGCTGGCTGTTTACAAACAACTACACGAGTTTTCATTAATTTTACTGAACTAAATATATTGTAAATAGTATGTACTTTTTGTATACATCAGAAAAGTTATGACACTTATTTCATTACAACATTGTTGTAGAATCGAAAAATGTAAGTTTATTTTTCATTAATTTCTGTACACAGCTCCAACTCCATGTCCTGTATCAGTTGGTTTATCTGATATAGATGGGACAAAAGAGAATCAAGATCCAGGAAAACAACAAAAAGTTAAAAATGATCCGAACAGTGCACTTTTTCTGGATGTTAGTTCACTTGCTCCTCGTAATTCATATTGTGCTTTATGTGATACGCATGATTATCTACATCAAATTCATTTACCAGCTTATTTAATCTCTCCCTGTTATCATTGCCGTGAGTTTCTTGCAAATGAAGCTAAAATCACTCCTGAAATTCTCCTAGACTTACATTTACAAGTAAGTAATTTTAATTATTAATTTATATCACTCACTCAATCGTTAGTAATATGTGGTGATTAAATTATATTAGTTTACAACTGATTGTTATATATATCATAACACTATGCTTATCAATCTAGAATCCGTTCAATTGTTTATACGAACATTCACGAGGTGGTCAAATTATCTTTTTAGAATAGGTATTATTTGGTTTTAGTATTACTTTTTGCATAATGCTATAAATATCCTCCGAATAACTCCTAGCCTTTTTTCGGAGTATCAATGATCGTTTAACTTAATGACTCAATATGATATACAGTATAAAAATGTTATGAAAACTTTATTCAATAGCTTGCACATTTTGTATGTCTTTTTGCACACTGAAGTTTAGGAATAAATATTAAATTGAAAATTCTCTTGTATGACCCACCCATAAAATTTCTTTTTATGTAGCATAACATCCCTTGGCCAGGATTCCTGCAAGCTAGATTTGGTATTCCTAATGATGGTCGGTCAACTGAAGAACTAATTGCTTATGACTGCCGCTGGCGGAGCAGACAACCTTGTCGATGTTTAGCTTCTGTGGATGGTTCATTATTACCACCCTGTGTCGAATTTCCATGGTTAACTCCTACAGTTTTGACAGGTTCATTCGATGTTACTGATATATCAGCAAATCAAAGCAAATTAGACAAACAAGATTCAGTAAGTACACAAGTGGTTGCCGAGATTTCTTCACCCACCACTACAGATCCGCGTACTTCCGATTCTTCCACGACACGTAAGCTATTTGATTTTATTAATAATTATGGATTAAACTTAATTTATGCTACATGAAGCAACCTCATGTGTATTTTTCGTTACAGAAGCACAAACTAATGCAACAAATCAATCGTTGCCTACCCTCACTACAACCTCGGTGAGCACAAGTAACACGTCAGCTGCGGGAAATACTAATACATGTTTAAAATCAATCTTGCCATGTTCAAATAGGCATATTCGCGGTGCTCCCATTACCTGCTGTCATGGCATACATTTCCCTTTAGTTGGCATACCAACTGTGTCGAATTCATCTACCAATCAAAATACAGATACTGGCTGTATCCCGCCTATTGATCCTTCGAATCCACAATCAACGACCGATAGAGGATCAGTTGTTATAACTCAAGAGATGCAACAAGCAGCACCGTTAACAAACGACGTATCATCTTAATATTGTAATTTTTATTATTATCATTATCCACAATCATTTCGTAAATGTGATTCGAAAATTGTGCAATATACAATTGTGTGCATATATAGCTACCTATCTTTTGAATAGTGACAATCTCAGAATCTCATTATAAAATAATGTTAAAATCTAGCACACATCTCTACTATAATTACATCACTAGTCTCTGTAATACTGTCAAACATTATTTGCCTTTCAGAACAAAAAAAGATGGAAATAAATTGTTACCTATAGTTAACTGTAATTTTGTGGTTTATACTTTTTTAATTGATTTTTTCGTCGCTTTAGCTATACACTTATTTGTATTGTTAACATATATTACACAACATAAGAAGTATCAGATGCTGTTTGCAGTATCTATTTTCGAAATAAAGAAAAACAATTTGATAATAAATAATAGTAAATAGATAAAAATTGTTTGTAAAAACAATTCAGAGTATACTGGATGCATAAAAGTCCATGCATGATAATACTATTAGTGCGATGATAGTCCATTTGATGAGGAGTTGGGTCTATACGAATATATAGTTTTTAAAAAGTTAGTAATTTCTATCGAAGAATTGTCTTGTTTTTCAATCGAGATATTGTAGAAGCTCTCAACTTCCGTACTTTTTTCAACGATTTATCCCGAATGGATGATAAACTCGTTCGTGACAGATTAGGATTTCGCAAACTAAGACATATTTCTAGATTATAAATAGCAACAACACATAAACATTAAAAAAACTAGTCAAAATTAATAATCAAATATATACAAACGAGGCAGGCAATTATGACTATGTTAGGATTTTTATCCAATAGGCAATTCCTGTATCAAAAATGAAGAACTTGCCAATAAATGTTTCTGAGGCGTTTTTGTTTTTCTAAATGCAAAATGTTACTTCAGGATTAGTTTGCTTCAAAGCCTTAAATAGTGATAAGGTGTAGAGTAGTTGAGCCCCTCGATCACGCCATTTCCTTTGGAAGCTTCATCAGTCCTGGTGTTTCAGTGTCTGACAAGAGCTGTTGGTTTTTACCAACTTGTGGTGTTGACGAGATATCTATCTACCAACCAAAGGACAATCCTAATGTGCAGAAGTCCGCTCTATTTTACTATAGGGCTGTGAAAAATAACCCTTAGAGATAGAGGATATTGGTAGGTTACTAATGCCAGACCACAGAACTCTCCGAATCCTTGCCGAGGTCATCGAGTAAGCACTTTTGAGGTTAGACACATGGTACTAAGTAAGAATGAAAAGTCAGTTGGTGAAATAGTGGATATTTGTCGACTGAAGTAGTCGGGTCGTTACTTACGCCTGTTACTCCTCGTGAAGGAGCATAGGCCGCTCACCAGCATTCTCCATCCAACCCTGTCCTGGGCAATCCTTTCCAGCTCTTTCCAATTGTTATTCATCCTTTTCATATCTGCTTCTATTTCCCGAAGTAATGTGTTCTTTGGCCTTCCTCTTTTCCGCTTCCCTTCAGGATCCCAAGTTAGCGCTTTCCTCGTGATGCAGTTTGATTTGAGTTATGTATGTTCTATTCATTGCCATCGTCTTTTCTTAATTTACTCTTCAGCTGGAAGCTCGTTTGTTCTCTCCCACAGAAGGCTGTTGCTGATGGTATCCGGCCAATGGATGTTGAGCAACTTGCGTAAACAGCTATTTATAAATACTTGTACCTTCTTGCTGATGTTTGTAGTAGTCCTCCAAGTTTCAGCTCCGTACAGTAGGACTGCCTTGACGTTCGCACTGAAGATTCTGACTTTGATATTGGTTGAAAGTTGTTTTGAGTTCCATATGTTCTTCAATTGAAGGAATGCGGCCCTTGCTTTGCAAATCCTCGCTTTTAGGTCTGCATCTGAATCTCCATGTTCATTGATGATGCTTCCCAGGTATGTGAAGGATTCCACATCTTCCAGAGTTTCGCCATCAAGAGTGATTGGATTGCCGTTCTCCGTGTTGTGTTTGAGGACCTTGGTTTTCCCTTTGTGTATGTTGAGGCCTACTGATGCAGAGACTGCAGCTACACTGGCTGTCTTTATCTGCATTTATTTATTCTTGTGTATGCGATAGGAGGGCTAGGTCATCTGCGAAGACTTAATCGTCTAATTGGTTCTGAGCTGTCCATTGTATGCCGTGTTTTTTCTCAGATGTCGAAGTCTTCATAATCCAGTCGACCACCAGAAGAAAGAGGAAGGGAGAGAGTAGACAGCCTTGTCTGACTCCGGTCCTTACTTGGAATGCGTCTGTCAGCGGGCCTCCATGCACTACTTTGCACTGTAGTCCGTCGTGAGTTCCGGATAATGTTGATAATTTTCTCAGGAACTCCGTAGTGTCGGGTCGTGCTTGATGTATATTTTACCATCGCATACTTTGACCCCCGATGTTTGATGGTTTAGGAGTAGGTTGAAAGAAAGCTAAAGGCAGTTTAACCTAGACGTAACATCAGTCCACAGAGTCATTGACAGTTGAGTTGAGCCTTATAAGCTAGTCACAGACTACTGGGTTGGAGACGTTAAGTGAAAACGGAGAATCACTCACATGGCTGAAATAGGTTTTCTTCAAATATATCTTATTTAAGATTACTTGTACTTTTCATCCTACAAATTCACTATCTTTTTTAATCCTATTTTGAATACCTAGTCGTTCACACCGCCACTGCATCTATAGTATTTGTCTTAATAGTTTCATATTGTTGTGCCAATATGATGTGGTAACTTGAACTGGTGCACATATGCCAGGTTATAGAATGCACATGACTAACTGACTTTCCCTTTTTGAGCTTCTCTACCCTAACTACTTTGGCGCAACAGTAATCATTCTCAGACGGATATGAACTACATTGTAACGTGACATTTCTTATTGAAGTCCTATATTAAACAAGTTGAATGCAGATTGATGAAACCAGAATCAACAAATTTAGGTTTGAGTACGAAGTATTATCGAACTTAATAGGGTATCAAGAATTAAAGTCTTACACTCGGATGATCGATGATGGTAACTCCCCCAACTATAAAAACAGGACGGTCACGAAAATAAGACTTACAATGTCTCTTTTCATTTGATCTTAACCTACAATTGTAAATATAATATTTTATCTATAAAGGTCTGAGATGTTCTTAAAGCTAATAATGAACTGTCATTTTCATCTGGTAAATTGTTTTTTATGAACCATTCATAGATGAGGAAATAACCAATCTTGTTAATGATGACAGTTTAACAATATATAGAGGCATAGATATCAAGCCAGTGTGTAATATCTTTTTGTTTGTGCAAATACAATCCCAATTCTGGATTTCCCTTTTTCTTGGTAGGATATATTCTACGTAACTTTTCTTCATAAGAGTTGTAGATTATAACCTTTTCCGATATTTGAAGATAATGGAATCTAGATCGTAGTATCAACCGGTTAAAGGTATTTGTAACTACAGAAAATTCCCCTACATTAACGGTGACTAACACCATGAGTTTGAAAAATACTTTGATGAACTGAAATTAATTAATGACAGAAACTTACGTTTGAATTTACTTTCGAGGGTTTTTCGGCTAGATGATCTCGCTCGATGCCTACAAAAAACAAAACTTATACACTAACAAATGTTACTGCAAATACTAAGCATTAGGTTGAAAATGTCAAACCACTTAATTTTTTATTGATCGGTTAGTAACGATTATATGATACTATTGGATCATAAGTAGAATATTTTTATCAAGTTAAGAAAATAATAATTTGGCTTAGGTATTATTTTTGAAGACCACCAAGCAAATCACTGTTTAAAATGAATAGAATTATATGAACGAAGAATTTTCTTTTCAATAATTTCTCATCAGGTTCCACAATGATATATACAAATTACTAATCCGTAAAATTGGCCAGGTTTAAGACCGAGTACATGTTATAACTTCAAATGATGTACTTTGTCTTAAACCTGGTGAAGTTTATGGATAATGGGAATTTTTCACCTATTAAAATGAATAGTCAGCTTACGATGTAAAACGTATTCGAATCGCCACTCACTTTCAAAGTCGTGTACGAATGAATGTGCTCGCAGCATACAGAAACTATCTGTTGGGTAATACCTAAGGATTGTCTAACGCGAGTACTTTATCTATGAAGTTCTTTAATTCGGCTTTTAAAACATATTTCAAGATTTCGGAATGAACACGTGGTTGCAGATATACTTCTGATAGGTGTCAACAAGTATGAAAGAACTTAAAGAGTATAAAATAAATTTTTGAATGTGTTAAACACGAAATAGTTTACAATGGTTTCTGAGCTGTCAGCAACGGAAGTACAGCAAAACTTGAAAAGTTATTTTTCCTATGGGATTAGGACCTGCAACACTAGGTTTTGCGATCAGAAAAGTTGCCACTGAAGTACTAAACTTAACGGTGGCCTACTGGACGCTTATTTCTTAGTACTACTTAAGTCATATCGATCATCTTCAAATATGGCCGATAGACAAGTAAAATCAACATAGCGATTAAAAATTAGTACAGAACAATATGGAGTTTACATCCAAGATTTCCTAAGTATCTACAACAACCTGAGACCATACACAGTGCATCACAATGTAGATTCACCCAACCCATTGATCACATTGTTTTAATTTACTGAAGTTATTCGTTAAAGTTCAGATAAAATGATAATTGATTACCACAATAAATCATTAATATTCATTTAGAGCTTTTCGTATTATAATAAACAAACACATACTTTGGTTTGAAATCTCCAGTAGATTCTGAAAGTTCAGCTCTTTTGTCAACCACACACAATAAGTCAGCAATTAACTCTTCTTCACGAGCTTTTTCTTCTTTAGTCTTTAGAATGTCTACACAAAAAGTATACAATAAAGGTGTATTATAGTGAAACATAAAGTCACAATTCATTTTTATTACCTTTTTACGACTAACACTAAAATTTGTATGTATCAGGTGCAAGCTTATGCGAATCTAATGAGCCTATTATTATCACATAGCATGCAAATTTTATTTCAGAAAAAATTCTGAATATTTTTATACACACTTTTAAATTATGTGTTTATGAACTTAGTGAGTTCTAACACTGAAGTTTCTGATTTATTTGTAATATTCCAGTGAGTAGATGATTAAATTTCTCACGTTTCGTAACCTAGTGTAAGCTGCTTCTTGAAAGTAAGTGTAATATAATATTAGTTAGCTTTAGTTATAAAATGCTTTACTGATTATTTACTTCATTTTATTTATACAATCCATTACAAAGATATAGCGCTAAATAAATGATATTTAGATTTTTGTAAACGCTACATTTCAACTATGTACAAGTTTGTGGACAAGGTCTTGAAACTTGGTAATTCTGTCAAGCTGTCAGGACTGTATATCAAGTGAATCAAAGCTTGAAACAAAAACATAATAGTTTAATATTTAGAAATTAGATCACTTAAATACAAGTAATCATTTTTAAAAACTTTCAGATCACAATTGATATAACCAATCGTTCTTTTTATGGACGTTTAGAGATATGAACTTGAACTATAAATGAGGGAAAAAAATATTTTTGTTATCTCTTAGTAAAATGAATACTACAAATTCTAGATACTACTATGTGATATAATACCCAACTAGTCGTATCTGACTAGTTGAATTATTTGCTTCAATCTATGATATGTAAACCAGTACCCAATGACGCATCTTTAATTCATATATATATATATATATATATATATAATTTTTATTCAAATGAGTTATTTATAGCAGAAAACTCATACTAGTTTGGTAGTTTACTTAGAATTGTTACTTTATTTTACTGTAAAAATAATGCGCTTCACAGATATCTGATAATTAATATTATTATTTTGTCTATCAATTTGTTAGTATTGTGTGCAAGCCAATGGTGTAATGAAAACAATTGATAAATGTAGATTTGCTATTTTAAGTAAAAGAATTTTTTCATTCTTATCTTAAGACTGATTATTTATTCATTGTTTGATATCCCTTCCACCTGGAAAGTTAGTTGTATATTATTTATAGATTAGGTAGTAATCAATTTTATTTTGACAAACAAAAACAACTTCATTTTTCTTAGTTGAAGCAGAAACATAAAAATGACCTAACAAACGAAAGTATTATCAATATAATGATTATATAACAAAGGAATTCAACGAAACTAGAAGTATACACTTGTTTACCAATTTCTAATATTCAATTGTTCTGCAGTTGAAATCATTTTGTGACGAAAATTACCTCTTAAAAAATGAATTGTTTTAAAGTATCATACTTTTAAATGATACAAGAGAAAAAATTAAAAAATATGGATAGAACTATAAAAGTATACATTTCAATATTCAAAAACATATGTATAAAAGGGTTTGATGCTTAACTATATTACATAGAATACGTAACTGTCAGTTTTGCGATTGTAAAGAAAATCAATCACTTTGTTACAACTTTATCTCATATTTATGATTAGCAGAATTATGCTGTTCTTTTCATCTTATTATTGGATATTGCAGGGAACAGTGACGAAACATTCACATATCTTAATTATCTGTTCAAATGAAGATTTACAAACTTAACAGATGGTCAGAGTTGTCTATCCAATTATTAAGTATAGGTTTATGTACTTGAGTCTGAGGAATATTATTTATGTAAGAGCTAGTGATACGTATCAGTCAGTCAACCTAAATTATATGGAACTGGATTCAAATTTCCAACCATCTGGTGATAGAAAGTCTAGTTATCCAACAACTAACTCATAGGTTCTTTACTACATTCTCCTTTTACTATACAATATAAAATCACTACACGCTTAACAAGACCGAAAATGAGATTGAAAACAATGAAATCGATACGTACGTTATAATAACAGTATGCTACGTTAGCAGTTTATTATTTTATCATTAAATTTGAAATAATACTCAATACTGAAACAATGAGGAAACCAGAACCGTGAGAAAATAACAGAATCTAATACTTTTGTTTTGAATTCGGGTGGTAGTTTCAGAATACAAATTGATAACCAATACGTAACTTAAGTTGCTGATTTTACTATTCTACATAACTCATGTATCGTCCCTCCTTAGTATTTTATAGAATATTAACCTAGTTATTCCGTTTATAAATAAACTTACAAACATTATTTTTCACTTAAAGTATCTCATACATTCGTTGTAATTAGATAATATTATATCTTGGAATCTAAGAGGTATTAATTGAAATTGTAAGCAACTAACAAGGAACCACATGATTAATTCAATTCATACTATACTGATTCAATTATTCTTGAGTTGCTTAAACAGTTATTACAAGTGATACAATACTAAAACTCCAGATTTCTTAATTAATATGTTCAAAATAAAATTGAAGACTGGACACAAAATTAGTTATTATAACTGAAGACTGCGAAATGATAATTACCCTATGTAAGTTCAAATATGTGGTTAGTAAGAGTTCAATCAGTAGTTTAGTAAAGAATGAAATAAACAACTGCTTTACGAAAAGAAATAGAAACAAATGTAAATGACTTCGACTTTATGCTATACGTTTCTACATAATTGCAGACTATTATATTGACGAGGGTTCTACTTTTTAATTCAAGCAGCATTTAAAAGATCCTATCGTTAAGACTCACATTATTAACAAGAAAGCTGAAAACCATGTTAAATAATAGGGAAGGAAGATCTAACCAAACATTAGAATATCTAAAAAAACAAAATGAGATACATGTAAAATCTAGAAAACTATAAATACAAATACTAATTTACGTACACTTAATTTTCCAAACATGAAGCTAAAATTGTTACAAGACCTCTATCACCGAAATTTGATAACAGTAAAAGAGATTTGATTAGGCATGCAGTACAGGATACTTTTCTAATATAAAGATTCCCACCTTGTTTGGCCATTAGCGTTCGTAGTTCATATTCTAAATCAGCATGACGATCCTCTAGCTCTTGACAACGGAGCCTGTCAACACAAATTAAAGTTAGTGTTACGTTGAGCTTCATATATAAATATTAAACAAAAAAGTTGACGACTACTGACCAAAGTGCAACTGAATGAGAAAAAGGTGGATAAATTACCGGAAACATATATGTACATTTCCCTTATGCTATACAAGTTTTAAATTCAGAATCAAATAGACAGCAATCGTATATCAAAACAGTAGGTTTGCTGTTTGAAATCAAAGGAATAAAAGCTTTTTCAAGTGTATTAGGTTATTATTCCCTTGATCAAACAGAATATGTTGGAAAAAGTAAAAAAACATGTTACGCAAACTTGGATAGATAAAGCAAGTTTCAAACAGAGGGCTGACTGATTAAGAGTTGTGTATCTAAAGAGGATATGGAGCGACCACTTAATGGCTAAAGAACTTAGTTTTCAACAACTAAGTTGCAAGTTAAAAGTATGTTCCATCTATTTCAGTTTCGGAGTTATATCGCTCTGCTACCGTGCGAAATGTATCGCTGGCAGTGTAGTGAATAAATTTGCACTTTCTTATAGTGACAATAAAACAAATGGATAAAAGGACTTTGAAAATCGCATTTAATTAGTAGATAACAAAATATAGCTCTCAAAATATTTTGTAAATAGCTTCAATTCCTCTTCACTAGACACTTTTGTATACAATATCACTGATCAGATGAAATACCCATAAATGGCTTAACATTATAACACAACTAGCCAAAAAATTAAACATATATGAATGACATCTTCCTAATTCAAATATCTGTTATTACAAGTTATGTTCTTTAACTATGTTGTAAAAGACAATAAGACGAAATTCAGGGGAAGCACTATCGATGGAAGGTATATATAAAGAATTTACAGTGACGATTGCTACAGACACTGCCAACGTTTAGCATAAATACTATCTTTTAAAATGAATATCCTGAAAATTCGACAGAAATGTAGAACACTAAATGTATTCGTTTCTCAGTTCCTTAGAAAACCACTAAGGGGTTCGAAGCTCGTACAAAATACTATCCTTGTGATACATTTTAAATGTAGTGTGAGAATTTAGTTTATGCATATCGACTGAATCCCATTGTTACTTTTTGTACATACTACACAACACATGAAATATAAAGTACCTCCGAAGGACTTGTATTACCTTCTTTTGGATTTACTAATAACAGTGAAGTTTTAGAACTAGTTGAGAAATTTAGGTTTGTGTTTTTGCACAGGTACCAAAACCGGTGGAGCAGTGGAGAGTAGTTTAAACGCAGACGGAAACAGTATAGTATATGTTATAGTGGGTCACTTTAGATGTGATTAAGATAGAAGCCTGGCTGTAGAAAGTGAGGTTTACAACGCTGTTGTGCAAGCAATTTTGTTATATACGTCTAAAGCCACCTATGCAAACTGAGATAAGCGTTCAATCATTCCTGTTTACATAATGATAGAAGCAGTTGACGACAAAACCACTTAAATATTATTGAAATCCTTAAGTATGTACGGAAGCATAATTAAAGTAGGTTAACGTTAAGACTGATTGCAGCAAACAAAAGGTTGTCAGTTTATTATATGAGGGCCTACAATAAATGAAATTTCTGCCGAGTTAGTAGCTGCCGGTAAATTGCACTGCCTTAAATAAAGTGGCAAAAACCACGTGGATGAATGACCACAACCACCATTTGTTGTAAGCGATCTTGATTCTACTCATACTGCTTTCTTTGATCGTTATGATTATGACGATGATACCAATTTTACTTCTTACATTTCTTTCAGGGACTGTTATTCCTTTTTGTGAGGTTTATTGTGTGGTACTCACATGCACTTCTTCAACAACCTATTTACTTGCAAATATGAGTTTTCATGAAATATAAGCGCAAAAAATTAGGAAGCAACATGCAATAAAGGAAATACCTTTGAAGTAACTCTGACTCCTTTTTGAAGAGATTATCCTTTAATTCAACGGTATGGAGCCACTTTTTTAATAGTCTCTTGACGCTTCCATTGTTTTCAGACACTAATGTACGGAAAAAATTCGTAGCTCTGATGAAACATCTCTATAAAAAAGTTAGCTTAAAGTTAAAAAACCGCATGAAAATTCCTAGGTAAAAGATAGGGTACATGCCAAAGCGTAGAACTCTAGAAACACGCTAACCACTCAAAAAACCGCACAAAATAAGCCTCAAAGAGAAATCATTAGAGTATTTACCTTTTAGTCTACATTTGAAACATGATTTTCAGCGAATGACAACAGACAATCAAAATATACTTGCTTCATGTCAACTTACAAAGTTAAACTAGAGAGGAAAGCGATGAGGCAAAACTGCTTTACGAGTAAGTTGACTGGATGCAGTTTACCACATAAATTAAATTACCACACTAAGAAATAAACCTTTAGTGGTCTATCAGTTTACTATCAAATGATTGCAAGAATTTAAATTTCAGGTGTTACGGATAGACCTGAATGTTATTTAATAATCAAGTGCATCGTGGTTTTGTGAAGTATTTATTGAAAAAGCATAAGTAATAACTGGCAAGTAAAATGAAAAGTGCATTTAAAATTGATTAGATATACCCTTTTCCAACAATAAAATAATTTATGTGAACGACAGTAAACTCTAGTTTGAAACCTTTATTTCAGATGAGCTTTGCATTAATGAATCTTGGTCAACTAACAACAACTCAGGGTGAAATGAAAACTATATAGGAAGGACAGAATAACCTGCACTATTTCCAGATAGTTTCAAAAATGCGTTTGATTTATATCGTGCACTTAAGGAATTCCTTAGTCGTGCAATGATGAGAAAGTGCCTTACATAACTCTGTCCTACTTACACAGTACTGCTTCTAAGCATATAACTGTAGTCTACCAACAATTAGATGTGGCTGAATGCAAGAGCGTTCGGCTATGGTGTGAATCAAAACTTTAATAAGTTTTTTATTTAACACATCAAGGACCTTACTTTGGTGAGGCGACAAGGTAAGATAAATATTAGAAAGTAACTCCAATCATAGTAACTGGGATTCTCTACAGTATGTACTATTTTCACTTTCGAGACCATAAGGCACATAATTTAGTTTTAGGTATGAATTTATGTAGACATTAGACCTATATTTAATACTATATGAAAGTGAAAACTATGATCACGTTTATACAAAGAGTACCTTACTTACTTTCTCTAATACTTGTTTGAATTTTGCGAGCAGATAGTTCCAGATTGGAAAGTTCATTATTTATATCATATAGTTGTTTGTGTAATTCAGTGTATGGAATGAAGTCGCTTTGCCGATCGCGTCTGACATCACGTCGGCACAAAACAGGAATAGGTGGGGCAGGCCCTTTGGTGTTAACTGACCTACTTATCTTTGCATTTGATCCATTAAGAGATTTTGAGGACTGTTTTGCATCACTACTTAGTGAAGAGGACTGTGCTTTATTCAAACTACCATAAGCGAGTAAACTCGATAAATCATATATAGAAGAGTGAGCAGTCGGAAGATTGGCTGATTCATCTGGGACTAATTTTTTCATTGAAAAATTCGGATTACTCTGTTCCATGTAGTTGTTTATATGGTTACTAGGCGTGGATACCAGAGATGGAGAGTTTAATATACTTAATATGTCGGAGTGGTCAGAATCTGAAGCATTATTAATTTCTCCAGAGTCTGAGGTTGATAAATCGTCGTCAAATGGATTATAAGGCTTATAGGTACATTCATGTTGAGAGTCATCTTCGAACGGATTTAAATCAGCAGGATAAGAAACGATGTTATGAGGTTTTGAATTAGAGTTATTTTTGCGCTGTTCTATATCAGCTGTTATTTTAGCTTTTATCTTCAAAACACTATTCAGTTCAGGAGACGCATGATTGCTCAAAACATCAGGAAGTGGTGGTCTAGATGGAGGTTTACATGTTGGTTGACGTTTTCCATTGCTAACAGTGTCCAATTCTTTTTGTGGACTGAATCTTATTGGGAAGGAATCCGCTTCTAGAAGTGAAGATAAAAAAGATAAATAGATCTCGTTTACCTAAAAACTTAGTCAGCGGTGGACCATCAGAACAGTTGGAATCCTTTAGTGTTTTATTCCGCTCTTTGAGATAAGTTAGCTGGTTGTCACGAAAACAACTACGATGGTAGTTCCTACTGAAAACAGTCAGCTGCTCGACACGAAATATAGTTTCTCCACAAAGGTCACATATAGGAAGTCCCTCCTCCTGTTCACACTAAAAACGTATTATATGAGGTTTGCAAGGGCATACCAAATATGATAAGTTTTTATCTGGAAGCTTATCTGAACCTAATTGATCTGAATATTTAGAAATAGATAGTCATGTATTACCTGAGGAATTTCTTGTTAGTGCCCCATACAACTTAGAAACGTATTCAAATATTATCTTTTTATCTACATTTTCTAATACTATGACTTGTGGTCTTGTAGGCACCGGTATATTCAATTTTGTTTCTGCAACGAAAAACGCCTAAAATATATCATCATACATGGTGGGTAGATAATAACCAACCAACTCAATATTTTTTACAGCATCTTCAGACTTCAAGTTGGAAAAATCTCTTTAAAAAGTGAGATGCAATTTTACTGTCCTGTTCAACCTACATAAGATCAGGGAAATGTTTGTGAATTAAGGCACAAAACGCCAGACCATCTTTCCATGATGATGTGAAATCAGTGATATTAATATGTGGGTACGTTTTGGTTTGTTCAATGCACCAGTTCAGAAGACACCGAGAAGAGTTATCCTCCATTCCCCCTGTCGCCACTAAAGTTACAAAAGTAACGAACACTTAAGTTCATCGACCATTAATGCATTTAAAGCGTTTAATTCTCAACGTCCTTGCAGTTAGTGCGAATAACATAAATAGAAGAAAATGATTTGGTTACACCTGGAAATTTATTTGAAAATTTTTAAGACCAGTTTACAATTAACGGAGTATAACCAGACTCAAGTAATACTTGTGGTACTGCGCCTAAAATGTTTGTGACATTCAAGCCTTTCAAAGACTAAAAGTCATACAAAAATAGATTCCTTCATAGATGAGGTGAGTTGTAACAGACTTCAACTGTGTACTTTGCTTGATTGCTCATGAGATTATGAATTCGATCTATACTATCTATCCCCACAAAAATCAAGGGACAAAGAGCTGGTGTACTAGCATTGTAGGGAGACGGTGCTGCCACATTGGCAATAAATATATCTAAGGAGAGGTCAAAGTCTCCTAATAATAATGTTAATGAACTATAGAGGTGCCTTTCCCTCCGGTAAAGATAAATCATCCAACCCACAATCCGGAAACTTTAATCTATTTGAGTGGACTTTTGGCAAATTCTCACATAGCAGACTTTTATCTAAAATAAGAGATATCGGAACTAAATGTAACTTAATTATGTGGATAAGGGGTTTTTTATATTGGGCTTTGGCAAAAGTGTGGGTCAACTCTAAATCATCTAGCTGGAAAATCTTCCTTATCGAAGTGTAACATGGAACATTTTCGGAATTGTTTCTATTCTGTCTGTGTAGAGACGACCTTAGCCTTCTATCGTTATCAGTTTCGTTATTTGCCAGTGATATTTAGGTATTATATCTAGGTTATTAGAAATGAAGGTGATGTTTCGGAGTCTCAGTATGACTTTAAGGAATTGTCTGAGCAATATTGAACTTGCCAGCTGTTGATTCTTTGTTCCAAGTGAATATTGATGCGAACTAACCAACACGGTACTAAGACATACACGATGAACCGTACCGAGCAACGCGTTCTCAGGACCTACAGAGCTCAAGGAGTCATTGCTGGTTAAGACTCAAAAACCATTCGACACTGATGTGCAATAGCTTCCGAAATTTTTTAACCCTTCTGTTGATACATGAAACCTTTATCCACGTGGATGTTAAGACCTTTTTGAACTTTTACAGTGTTTATTCTACCTAGATTCAAGCATTGGTCACAAACAGGAAGCTGTTGCCTAGGGAAAAGTAAATTTCCGGGTTTCTGAAACCACATAACTTAATTATGATGAAAGAATGAATAAACTGAATCTAAGTGTAGTATCTGCATTACTTAATACTTATTCTTGAAATCAGGAAAAACTACGATCCTGACGGCATGATGTAAAAGGTAAGACATAAGACTGGCACAAATGAAGATGCATAGACCCCGAAAATAGGACAACCGCAGTCGAAAATACACTCATTTATACGTTGACTGAACACCCACTTTGATCATTGTTTAGAAAAATGTCACTTATATGAAAAATGCAAACACAAAAATGTCAAATCTTTAATAAATTCACGCTAAAATAAATCAATTTTATGCTGAATGGAATATTTCACTGAAAATAGAGCAAAAATACACTGGATAATAATTATAGTAAATTAGATACAGAAGTAATGTTGAATAAGGATCACTATGAGTTAACAAAGTAACATTGCCATTTTATTCCAAATCTGAGCTGCTTGCTGAATGATTTAACCCGGGTTAGGTGAAATTTAACTATCTCTATGATGAAATACCGTTTACTAGTATATCTTGGTTCCGATGTTGTTGAGAAATGAAACCAACAAAAATAAAAACGAAACACAACAGTTAATCTGAGCTACCAAATATGACAAAAAATGTTATAAAAAACGGTGTGATGACCTCTGTGAACTACTAGCTTGTTGCTTTGGTGATGAAGAACTCTTATAGGACCTCATCAAAGTGTCAAAGTAATAATGTATGCAGTACTGTAGTGAACCTGCGCAAAATCTCAATCACGGTCTCACAATACGCAAAGCAAAAATACTATGCTAAAATAAATATTGCTACTGAATGGCAGCGTAAGAATAAGAAAATGGTAAAAAAAATAACACTCATAACCAGCTTTTATGTTCAATTATGAAACAAAGACAACAGTTACGTAATTAATGTTACTTGAATGTTCGTTATTAGGTAACCGCCACAAACGCGGTGCACTCACTTGACAAATGCCCTGCGGCACGGGTGGCATCGACAACGTAAAGCAAAATACTAACACGCTAACACTTTTCGGAAGTAACCAAAGCCCACAAATCCGCGTAGCGAAAACCGGCTTAAATAGTTACCACAGTATAATTATCTCCTTGGATCGAATTCCATTGTTAACTGAAGGCTTACGGGTGATTTTGTTGACGAAACAAATGCAAAACTCAGGGATTATAAATTTGTCGAAATTCATTTAAAAAAGGCACTTTTTATTGTAAGTATACAAGGATGGGTTACGGAATCACACATTTGCTGTGGGACTTGTCATAAAAAAGCTAATACATCTTGTTGTGTTTGTACTCAATGCCGTTTTACAACAATAGGCTTATGTCGTGCACGGATTACTGACACACTAAATACCCCTTAGGTTATCCTAGAGATGGCGGTTAAAGCAGCAATAATAAGTAAATAAACGTATACTGGCGTATTTGAAGAACAGCTATTCCTCGTTGGAATTTCAACGAACTTTCTAGACGGATGCAGTAGTTAGGCTATGGGTCTCCGATTATTCACTGCTTTGTCAGGACTGTAGCTTCCAAAGGAATCGAGTTTGAAATTTTGAATAACTGTTTATGTTAACTTAGATACACTCTATCGCCTAGTTGAAACTAAAAAAGGTTGTTATGTAAATGATGATCCTAAATTTCTTTGAAATTTAAACGTACATTATTAGCTAGACAAATAGTACCATCAAGTTGTTCAACCAAAAATTATTCAGCCATTAAAACAAAGATAAATTACTTTAAATAAACAGATTGATATAGGATATAAGAAAATCACAAAATGCAACAAATAAATATTATTCTATTTTTCCTGGATAGATCATGTACACATTGTTCAAACGATAATGCTTAATTTTTTTATAACACGGAGTGTTCGCAGTACTGGAGGAGTACTTTAGTCTACAATCAAAAATGCAGCACAATCAAAAAACGGGAGCAAATCGTTATTGCAGTCCTCATAACCAACTATCTACCAAAGCAACATAGATGTGGTTCACGAAAAACGTGGTGATTCAATGAAGACTTAAGGAAAACAAATTCTTCGATGAATTACAAATAGCACCATCTCGAATGGAATCAAAAGATTGTAGGCCGTGAAAGTAGATGATCTTTGTCATTGATTGGAGCCCTACATGACGTTGATCAACTCACTAACGCCGAAGTCATACTTCGAGGTTAACACTTAAGGTGAATTATCCTTTCGCCGTACCCAGGCACTATGGCTGATTTGACGGCAGTGCAACACAAACGACGTTATTACAGAAATATATTGGTGTGGGTAGGTACAGGGAACAGGGCACGGTCACTGCTACATGGGCTAGTCCATGGCGTGCAATTTGCTGATGCGCGTTGTTTGCCCTTGTTCTTGACAAGAATCGATGAATTGTTCAACAATAATTGACCCAAATGTCTAATGAGTTGGCTAGTACTCAGTGATATTTCTCTGGCCATACAGGATCAACAAAATGTACATCTAAATGAATCAAGAAGAATAAATTACAGCACAGTGTATGTGGAGGGATTTTCATACTCTAAATTTTCAAAGAGGATCTTACAAGGATTACTGATAATAGGATAACGTCGAAACACTACAACGTCCTCGAGATCATAGATAACGCTATTTAGTGTATTTTGGAAATTCGCAGGCAAAAAAGCCTAGACAAATGAATGAGAGTTCTTCCTCAACAAACCAAAGTACTAACAGTAATTAAAGTGGTGAAGTTTTTTCCATGGGAATCCAGGGATAATAGTCTTTAAAATTCACCTTACAAAACAGTTAGAACCTGAAAATCTGTTAAAATAACTAGCCTTTATAACAGTTCATGTTTCTTTAAACAGACTAGAACTTACTACTAATTTATAACCACCATAAATCGTTGCAGCTTCACCACTGATCCCAGGATTGCTACTGATATCCAGGGATTTTCATATATAGATCAACTAACGTTCTTAAAGTTACAGGTCCTTCGTTTGTCAAATCGTCTTAAGTCAAAAGGTGAACCAAAAGATCTGTACAAGACTGTATGAGTATGAAAATAAAATTCAAATAAATGGAAATAAATTATAACTTTTTAAAGCTAACATACGTCCTGAATACTAAAATATGCATTAAATATAATAACTTCAAACTAGGAACATATGTTTGTTTCTACAGAACATCACGAAATGCATTGATCCCAGCGTATGCCTTCTTTGAATTGTAAAAGATTTTAGAGCTTTAAGAAAATTGATTTCTAAAATTCTTTTAATCATAAGAGTTTATCTCATCGGTCAATTATGCATAATATAGGGAGAGTAATAATATAAAAACCATCGACTACCAACTGCGTCTCCAAAACGCTCACACAGGATCCTAGTAGTGTCATTTATTTGACCTCACCATGTCAAAGTAACAAACCAACTCGATTTACGCTCCGTGTATCTGGAAGCCCTGATGCTGCTTCCCGTGGCCTCGCTGGCGTAGGTATAGCATTAAGTCCTAGGGCAGAACTAGCTCTCATAGACTGGATCCCAGTAGACAGTCGTTTGTGTGCTGTCCGACTAAACGGAACGGTAAGGACTCGAAAAGATAGGGACACTCGTCGTTGCCTCTTCGTCGTCTCTGCCTACTCTCCCACTGACTGCAGCTCAGATGATGTAAAAGATGAGTTTACAGGAAGCTTTCCGACCTTCTCCGAAAAGCTAGGCGTTCAGATGTAGTAATAGTGGCTGGAGAAACACTGGATCTCAGCAGCGTCTACCGCACTGATAGATGCTCGAAAACTCATTCCATCTGGCTCTGAACATAACGAAGAGCGGAGTCAACTTAAGTGTAAGCTGACCAGAAGCCTACGCAAAGATCGTGAACAGTGGTGGGTAGCGAAAGCAAGAGA